CATCGTACTGATATCCCATCTTGCAGTCACAGCGATAAGCCCCAGGAAGATTATGACAAATCTGCCCTTCGCCACAACGGTGAACACCAGTTTGACATTCATCCACGTCTGCAGAACCAGAGAAAGCAATTAGTTTAAATTTAGTTTAAATATAGTTTGCAGAAAAATCAATTTTTACAAAGAGAAAAAAAAAATTAATTCAATAACAGGAATAATAACCGTTAACGTTGTCCCTGGGACAAAACAAAGAATAGCAGCTTTTTCCCACTGTGCTTGTCTCAGGGTCAGCTTTACATCTCTCCAAGTCAAACTTCTGAAAAGCAATTCATTATCTTAAAAGCGAACATGGTGACTGTAGCTGCAATGGAGCCTTCCCAGCATATTCTGCATTTCAATATAAACACATTTTGATTCTGATCAAACCATGACATTTAAACACCCTCTTCTGATGTTCTGCCATTACGTGAGTCACAGCAAGCCATTTAAAGCAAAACAAGAACCAGCCAGAAATTCTGCTCATTCTTCAATTAAAGCAATTGCTATTTTCATCTCCAGTTGCCCTTTCAATCTTGCTTCTGCTGTCTACCTTCTGCTCTTTCCCAATGTTGATCTTTTTTCTTTTCTCAATCAACTCACATTTTGATATTCCTCATGGCCTCTCATCCAAAATCCACTACCAACAAATTAGTTGCTTCTCCACTCACATGCATCACTCCCAATCTCATTTTAAAAACCCTCAGATGAAAATGAGAGTTTTCAATACATGCTGATTTACAAGACTTGCAACATGACTAAATAGCTCATCAGTATCTAACAAATCCTTGCTACCATCTGTGACAAGAAGCATCAAAAAGTCTTGACTAACCCTCAGAAACTTGTATTTCTTCAAGTATTCCGAGTTCTGCCATTTCCTCAGCTCCTGCTTCCTTCCCATTGTTCACATCTTCAACTACTTTCCCAACCCAAATCCTGCTTCATCTAATATTAGTTAGGATGGGAGTTTAAGACTGGGGGTTCTCCATCCTGCCCTATTTGAAGTCATACATTTGAGCCCTGTTTCATTTCAAAGGGTTCCTGGGCACTTCTCCACCAAACAACAGCCCTGGAGAGTGCTCTGGAGAGTAGCTGCTTGCTGAGAAAATGGTAGGGAAGTGAGAGCAAGTTACTTATCACAGAAACTTGGATTTGGAGATTATACCAACCCTGGTGAGAGGTGCTACCAAATGCTTTGTTCAATATTTCAGCACAGATTCCCATCCACACAGCCCCTGCTGGCACTGGGGTTAGGGATGGCAGGGAAAGCCACTCCCCAAGTGAGGAAATCCTGACACGCTCATCGATTTCCGCTGAAACACTGTCTCCTCATTTCTCTTAAGGTCAGAGGCAGCATCAAAACAAGGAAGTTTCTCATGCAGATACAAATGTGTGAAGCAGCAGTTCTACTTGCAATGAATTCACCATTTCATTAGTTTGTCCCAAATTATGTATTCCATCGTGTTTGGACTTTAATTAGTCCTAAGGCATTACACCATCAGAAATGTGCCTTATTTCACAATAGCTACAGTAGTTTTCAGTTAAATGTAAGATGTAGTTTTTAATAACTCATTTACTAAATCAGAAAATATGAACATTCCAAAGAAAGATGAATCCCCTAAAAAGAAAAGATGGCTGTACAAGTGTGGTTCTGCTGGAGAAATATGTGCAGATGATGTATTTACTACTGTGAATAAATCTGAATCAGGAATCTAATTAGCTATTGTATTGCCTTAAAGAAACTGGTCTTTATCATAGAGGGGAAACTAGGACCATATGCTTTTCTTTCTTCTTCTGCATTCTCTCTGCCTATAATAAAAAAACAACCCAAAACCAACCCAAAACCCAAAAGATACAGACTGCCAACAGAGTGCACACAGCAAAGACAGAGGACTCACCAATTAACATTAAACATTTGTTTTCCCACAATGGAACTAGAGAAGCTTCCTTAGAGCTGCTCCTTAAAAGCCCTGTCAATCACGTCAAGTAGAGACAAAGTCCCATCAGTAATTACAATGCATTGTGTTATCTCACCGTGCTTTAAAGATATAAACGCTGCATGAATAAAGACAATTTCCTCCTTGGTCATGTATTTACACACAGTCACTCTTAGGAACAACTCGGGGGGAAAAAAGTTGTATTCTTTCTATAAATCATCAGTTTGAAATTTAGGAACATAATTTGCCCCAGCCATTAGCAGGGCTTGGAAATGAAGGCTGTTGGCACTACAGCCAGGACTTCTGAGCTGCTCAGTGATGATTGCTAACTTGTGAAAAAAAAATGGCATTCACGGAGGTGTTGGTATGGTGGTACCCTAAAAACAATCTCAGGGTCATCACACTTCTGGTGGTGCAAATGTACCTAGCCCAGGGGGCTTTGCTGAAACAGGGCTGACTGACACCAGCTGGAGAGCTGTGTCTTCACAGCAACTGAGACAGACAGGACTTCTGGACCTTCCCTTGCTAAGAGCCAAAATATTTCAGGCTGCTGCGTAAGACTGCAAACGAGACTGCAGTACTTTGCCCTGAGTTTAGGAAACACAGCTCTTCCTCAAGCTTTCTCAGTTTCCTAAGTTACACACATCAAATGTCCTCATCTTCTGGTACTTCCAAACCTTCCCCACCTTCTCACTGGCCAAGCACAGACTGGAGAGTCCTGGGGGTAAAATTATGAAGGGAGACAGAGCATAATGAAAAGCAGCAGAAATTTCTGCAGACATGGGCTCTGCCTCCACCACTATTTTCCACTGCAAGCTGCTAGTCATGACCAAATTAAGACAGCTCCCAACACGGCTTCCACTCACCTATGGTATCACAAAAGTATGTTTTGTTTGTTTTTCATCCTTCCTTTTCTTCAAAGGGAATGTAAGTAGAAATCATTAGGACATCATCACTAACCCAAATGCTCATTTGTAATTTCTTTTTTCTGCTGTCATTTTATGCTTCCGCACTTAGAATCATAGAATCCCAGACTGGTTTGGGTTGGAAGGGACCTTAAAGCTCATCCAGTTCCAACCCCCCTGCCAGCAGCAGGGACACCTTCCACTAGACCAGGTTGCTCAAAGCCTCATCCAACCTGGCCTTCAACACTTCCAGGGAGGAGGCATCCACAACTTCCTTGGGCAACCTGTTCCAGTATCTGACCACCCTCACAGTGAAGAACTTCTTCCTAATATCTCATCTACCCCTCCCCTCTTTCAGCTTAAACCCATTTCCCCTTGTTTTGTCATTAACTGCCCTTATGAAAAGTCCTTTCCCAGCTTTCTTGTAGGCCCTTCAGGTACTTCATGTAACACAGAACACAGGGAATTAAAGAATGCAGAGCCAGCCTTGCCTTGGGTACCAAGGTCCAAGCTTTCAATTTCTTTGTGCCTAGTGTGCTCATTTACAGACCAAACGCTAATAAGAGATGGAATCTGTTATTCTGAGTCCGTAACTCCATAAACACATTGGAGCAAACACAAATCAGTACCAAGCTGCATGCCAGCCCTAAGAATATTTCAACATGCTTTTCACCAAGAAAGAAAGAATTGATCCTGAACACAGACAACTGGATGGACATGGGGAACACCACTCACAGCGCTCCAAAGAACATCCACTCAGTACTACTCTCTGAGTAGACTACAAACTCCGTGTTTCTCATTTGCTGCATCCCATGGCTTCAGATCCTACAGCTTACGGGGAGATACTGAAGTGAAGGATCGTGGTTTTGACTGACGATAGTATGAGTTTAAAAAGTAACCAAACCACATTCACTCCAGAACGGAAGCTGGTAAATCCCATATGAAGTCAAAACCAATGATGTCACCCGGCGTGCCCAGAGGAACTCCATGCAGCAGTCAGGCACCACTGCAGCATCCTGTAGTGCACACAAACCACTGAGCTGCTTGGACAGCACATGCATACAGCAAATCCCCATTCCTCAAATAGATTTAGGCCTCTGCAGGTAATTCAAAACCATCTTTTTAGAACTGAGAGGGCACCTGACCAGACACTGGCATCCAACCTTGCTTACCGATGCATCGGGTTCCCTCCTCATTGGAATGGTAGCCTCTGCTGCACGTCAGCATGTTCCTTTGGCAGGTGTAAGAGCCAACAGTGTTGATGCAGTTGAATCCTGGTTTACATGGCTCAGGGAGAGATGTGCATTCATTAATATCTGGTGAGGAAAATGAATTAGAATAGTGAGAGAAGCAATTTAACCTTTCTAGGCTGTTTTATTCCAACTGTCACTTTTTTTTCCTTCATGTCGATTTATTGTGCTACAAAGATAAGGCTCATGAAGGTCTGGTGTGGTAACAGTTTCAATTTCAATATGCAAGTATGTATATCCTTAAAAGAACTGTAATATTTAAATTAATTTCACAGTAGGATTTAAGGAAAATTACATGTGGTCAGTATACACCCCTTGGACAGGCTAAAAGGAACAGGAGTTGGCCAGTGCTGCTGCACATATTCATGGTCACACCTACCAACACAGTTTCCCTCAGGGTCTTGTAAAAATCCATCCATGCAGCGCTGCTTTGATTCGCAGTAGAATGATCCTTCCGTATTCTGACAAACGAAGTTGACTTTACAACTATGAGTTCCTCTCTGGCATTCATCAATGTCTGTTCATCAGATCAAAACACCAAATGGTGACCAGTTAAGCTGTGATTTTCAATAGCCTTCATTAATAGTTTATCAATTACTTTCTCAGAAAGGAAATTAGGAAGCATCTCTTAAACCTGACACCCAACATTGCCTTTGGAAACTGGTGGTTTTTAGGTGTGTTTGCTCTTGGACATCCACTTCAGCACAGGCTTCGGAGTCTGTCAGGTCCTGCAGCAAATTGGATTCAAGCCCCTACTGCCGTGTTCCCAGCATCTCTTGTAAACCACAAACATGGAAACATCTGCAGTTTAAAAATCCTAAAGGCCCAAAGGAGTAAGGTACACATATTAAAATGTATACCCCACTCTTTCAAAAGCAAAATGGTCTCTTATTCCTTATACACCTCGGGAATTCTGGGTAGAAACCTACCTCCACTGAATCTGACACTAAAAAGGCACCTCATTTGAGCAGAGCTGGGATTCCACTGTGAACACAGGCACATATGTACTACAGTACACAGAACACTCATCCAGCTCTGAAAACTATTCTGAAAAAAATCTGAATAAGAGGTAGTAGTACTCACAACAAATTTTCCTTTTTTTCTTACTCTGCAGCAAATAAAAAAGTGGAATCCAGTATTTCATAAACGTCTGCAAATTCAATAGTTACCTGTAGGCATTTTCACACAGAGTAGTTCTGCAATTTTAGTCTTTCTTACTTTCTTATAAGTTCTTAATGTAAAGGCTACTTTAAAACAATTTGTAAATTTTATAAGCTGTTTTAACTAAGAAAGCAATTTAGGTTAGCAGTAAATGTTAGAAATGCTATAGAATCAGGCAAGAGAACAAGCCATTGACAAACAGCCTCTTCAAGTAAACCAGAGTTTACTTATGACAGCTGTATATAAAGCGAGATTTCTGATAATTTCTATTTCATAACCTTATGTTGCATGTCAAGACCTAAGTTCTTTCTTTAGGCCTCTCCTACTCCAGCTGTCAGAAAACTCTTTATGTAAAAAATTGAGGAGTAAGTACCACTGACTGTTGCCCTGGAAGGCAGGCACACGTGTCTCCTGCATACTCCTGAGCTGCAGAGGAACTTCTGCAGTGCTCTGACTACTGATGTTCCCTTCTCCATTGGGCCGCTATAAAGATCAAGAAGGAGAAGATCACAGAATAACTTCTGAAACCCATGACCACTCAAATGCAAATAAACGCAGACAGACGTCCTAAACACAGGGAGGACTGGAGGGAGCCAGCCCCATGAGCTGTTCAGGCTGTGATTCAGTGTTCAACAGCAAACAGTGGCAGCCCCTTCAGGGAAAGCAGAGCCAGGCAGAGGAGCGGAACAGGAATTCCTCCGGCAGTGAGCTCTCTCTCTCACCCCTCACAAACAGGGTAAATCCTAATTCCATAAGGTTGCAGCCATTTTCCAAATTATTTCTAGTTATCGCTGGAAACTATTGCAAATAAATGAATGTACAGAAGGGGCCTATGAAATCAAACATTTCCATGATGATCAGCCTTTTTTACTCACAACAACTCTGATATCGCAGAGCAGCAACCATAAATACTTTGCAATCTCTCTCCTTTCCTGTTTGGTAGCAGCAATTGCATCAGCTGAAAAACACTTGTCTTACCAACACATTCTCCATCCTTAAGTTCATAACCTGGCTGACAGCTCAGTTCCTGGAGACATTTGAATGACCCCATCGTGTTGACGCAGTGCTCTCTCCGCTGGCAGGTGTGTGTATCTGTTACACATTCATTCATGTCTACAAGAAACAGTTAAACAATTCAGTGCCTCATATTTATCAAGTCACCCGCCTTGCTGTGCTTTTTTGGAAGGAATCAAAAGGTCAAGTGAAACCATTTCTTCCAAAAGACAGTCAGTGTAGACTTTGCTACAGTGTTCTGATGAAAGATGTTTTATTCCAGGACCTTTTGTTAACACAGAGGAACTCTAGGAACACAAATCACAAGACTTCCTTCTCCTCCCCTCTTCCCAAATGTGCAGTGGATGGTGCCAGCATTGAGGACAAGGGATGGGCAGAACTGAGAACATGTAAATTGGTCAGAGGATTGATAATCAGCTTCTGGTTCACTGGATAGAAACCTCCCCGACAAGTGAATGAAAAAGTGATTAATGCTTAATTGCTCGTTACCAGGTTTTCATAGCTCAGGCTACATATCAGTCCTGCTGCTTCATGCCCGATAGAGAGGAGCTGCTGGTGTGAAACCACTGCAAGAGAGGTACTGAACCCACCCGCCTCACCGCAGGTGCAGTCACGTAACATGCTTATGTCCTAAGGAATGTGTCACTAGAACTGCATACACAAGAAAATGTGGAGAGAGGAATCCTGAAGGCTCAATCATGTTTATAAATTTGTATTTAAATCTTTAAAAAGATCTGATTTCAGGAAGTGGAGCAGTAGAAAAGTTATTTAAAAAAACCCAGCAAAACACTTAAATACCAGATTGCAGAATGTAGGACACAGTTTGGAAAGGAATAACCACACCTTTAAAAGGATTCATTTTAATAGGCTTGGATGAAACAATCCCAAATTCAGGTTTTGCTTATTTTAATAATGAAAGCTGAGAACATCATGATGAGCAAATACAAGCAAGAAAAAGGAGTCGGGACTGGGAAGAGAAACTTTCTTATCACTCTCTACAAAATCTCACACGTTGACAGTTCTCTATAAAGCTAAGAAGTATTGCTACAGCGAACAAAAGCCAAATGTGACCATAAGTATTACGAATCACGCAGTTTCTCTGCACGTGAAGCTGTTTTCATACTACAAAATAAACCAAGTATTGTTTAAACAAGATTATCATTTTGGCTGTAGAACCTCATTCGCAGAGAAATACAACATCAGATATATTACTACCCCTGGTGGAGCATGAAATCAGGAAAAGCCCTTCTAAAAGCCTTTGGTCTTAGAAAATGTGTCAGCTTCTTCTTCTTCTAGAGGGGCACCAAAAACTTTCGGTTCCTTCTGAAGTCAGCTAACTGCTGATGTGCCCCGAGTTTTGCAAGACCACCACGTTAACTTGGTGCGATCTCATTATTTATTTATTGGTGTTTTCTTTTTTGTTTGCCATTGCTGTTTTTCACATGCTGTGTATCTCCCTTCCAAAGCCAACTGATTAATCCACAGCAAGGTCACTACAGTCAGCTGGATAGCTTTCTGCCTGTCCCTCTCCATCGCTGTGCACTTCTACCGCATGGCAGGTAACTGCCTACCCCAAAGTTTTTCAGGGTTCTGTCCTCCAAATGCTTGTGCAGTCTCCCAGTTTCTAAATATTAGAATCACATAATCATTATATTATTCAGGTCGGAAGGGACCTTAAAGCTCATCC